GATCCGCACGACCAGAAATCATTCATAATATTTCAGAAATGACGCCGGACTATCGAAGAATGTGCGTGTCTGAAATGCCGCAAGCATCAGGAGTCTCTCATATCAAAATCAACGTGATTTATATAGTTGAGCTTGGGAATCTTTCATGAAACGTTTAAGATATGGAAAAATAACTAGGCAAAGTTTCCTTGTTCTTTTAATATTGTGAAAGCAACACTGAGTCAACATAATACCAATATACCATAGAGACAAAAATGTGGACCACACTGGGTTATGTTCCCAAGGCGACGAATGTCTTATAATTTTGAGAAGGCGCTCAATGCTTACGGATTTAGGTCGAAGACTTACTTTGTAACTCAAAAAATTGCTTAATATAACCTTAGATCTTGAGATATTCTATTACTTTGGAAGCAAATTAGGAAATACTTTGGACTAGATGCTTATTCTTAGAGATATTGTTTGATGAAAGAATTATATATAAGAGTATGCCAAAAAATAAACAGAAAAAGGTTACTGAGCTCTCTAACTACCTTCCAACAAACAACAGTTACTTGAACTAAGTAATAATACTCTTAAGCAGCATTGTGCCCAGGATCAACAAAAAAAGGCACCTCTGCTAACTAGCTCCGCAGGTACGTCCAATTAGTTAAGCACGTGAGCGCCTCACTGTTGTGCACTCACTTATCCCCATTCACCGGTCACCTTCGCCTTCGCTACGAATTCGCCGATGTGTGAGCCATAAGATGTTATCATTTAATTCGTTGAAATTAACACGAACATTGTTCGCTATAAAAGATCTAATTAATTTAGTAAATGTGTTATTAATGTGACACTGTGGCAACAACACGTCACGCTGAGGCGAACTGCACGGAGCCGCAACCATGACGCTGTTCGCTGCCATTCGGCGCGATTACTTCACGCTCGCTTTTTGTGTGTCTCCAGCGGCTAACAAGCTCTGGCTCAACGGCGGGAGGCATAAAAATGCGAGCACTTAACGCTAATATATTCGGGAATGCTTGGACACACTCACGCATGCCGACGATGAGCCAATTGAATTCCTTGAGGATTAAGGATAATTGCATATGCATGTGTTGATGGCACGCGGACACTCTCCATTATTAATGGCTTAACATATAAATTAGTGTATAATTTATTTGTATATTTAATTTGGTATTAGCGCCATCGAATAAGACATTAATCTACAGCGGCTGACAGTTTAGAGTGATTTAAGGTGTTTATAATACAAATTAGATTAAAATTTGTTGAAGTTTTTAGTTTAAAGAGAGAATTTATAAGAGTGAGCTATTGCCAAAGTGAAAGTTAAGAGGGAATTTGAGAAAAGGAAAAATAGTTTGCCTAAGCTGGATAGGAGCTATACTTGTAGTGTGTCTGAGATGTCTTCTTTACTTGGTTTGGCCTTTTTGGGGGAGAAAGGGGTTTTGAAATAAATATTTAAGTTTCGTGAGCTTTAAGTTACTTAAAGCTCATCCTGAGGGCCAAAAAATCGATTATCTAGGCTGGCGAGGAACTGCAGTCAATTTGAGGTATCTTTTTTACCCGGAAGAATTGAGAAAATTAGTTTAGAAGTTAGCTGAGCTTAAAGCTACTTAGAGCTTACACCGTTTCCGGAGTGCCAAAGCTGCCAGAGCTTAATTGAATATACTTAAACTTCATATAAATATTAATGGCAGTTATAGCTTTCATGGCCCTGTTTATAAATGAACTCCCGGTGCGAGAGGAGTGCTTCGGTATAATTTTAAATTAAAAGGGCCTTTTTAACAAATATACTTAAATTTTGAGTTTAATTTCAACTATGCAGGTCAATATATTTTTAAAATTGCTTCCAACGCTGAGCCAAAATCAACATAAGCAAAAGGTGGAAACTACCTCTCCACTACCGTATTTATTTTTATAAATTCAACAGGATATTTTACGTTTGCCACGAAGTTTGTAACACCCAGAAGGAAACGTCGGAGACCCTATAAAGTATATATTTAAATGATCAACTAAGGAACTGAGTCGTTTTGCCATGCCCGTCTGTCTCTACATATATACGCCAACTTATCCCTAGAGATACCATATACATCAAAAAATTTTGCTCAGGTTCTGTTCTCCCCACGAAGCTGATCATTTGTCGAAACCGCTGATATCGGACCACTATGGGATATAGTCGATAGACACCCTGATCGATGAAAATAAAGTCCTTGTATGGAAAACTTTTTTATAAACCACTCTGTCGAAAAGCGTTTCAATGAAACATCTCCCTATGTTGCTGATTCACTGTTCGCACATGGCATTTGGATATCGAGTTACTTGAAATAAAACTGATGGATATCTTTCTATATTACCTTTAAAATCCATGAAACAGTTTTTCTTTTTAAACAATTCCCATTGAGTCTAAATTTTCTATCTTCTAGGGATATTAATATCGCTTATAGAAAATGTCCACATATTGGTGAGGCAAAGAAATGTTGGAGCTTTTATACAAGTAAGGCCAGGCTGCCGTTATTTCCATTTTAAAGTATATAAGAACGGTAGTTGCTAAAATAGAATGGAACGCACAAGCCTCCAACGAAATATTATTTTTATTTTATTTGGTTGCCAAAAGTACGAAGAAGCTTGAAAGGTAGACAAATGTTAAAACTTTCTGTTAGACTTACCGGGAAGTAGAAGAATGTGTATGTGTATATTGTGTTAAAGTGATCTATCGTTCAAAAGACTCGACGGATTCGCAATCACCTGTCAGTTTTAGCTACTTATATTTCGGAACCATAGGACTCTTAGCAATTCCCAAAGTAGAGTCAATTCCTTCTGATATAAGAAAAACTTACTTTTCTATGAAAGGTTTAAAATTTAAGATTATAAAATCTATGCTCGCTCTTTTCGAAACTCAACGTAGAACTTCGATATGTTGGACCTATAGATAGCACTACATACATAAATACACACATTAGTATATACATATGTACATCACCAAAGCTATTGCTTTTACGAAAGTTGCACAATAAATTCTGCACTATATCCACTAAGTCTAATTATTGCGATTCTAACAAATTTTTACAACAAATAAACTAAGAAAGATTTGTACTAACAACACACGTAGCTCAACAACGCCATATTCATTAAATGTCTCTATGTCTACATGGCACCAGTGCACTGCCTAATGCGGCATATTTCCAGCGTTAACGCAGATTGGAAGTGCACACAAACCGACCACAAGCCCACGGCCGAACGGGCCAACGAAGCGGCAGTTAATACTCCTATGTGAGTAGTTGAGCGAATCAGGCGAATGAGGTAATGAAAAAAATAAATCACTTTATTGGAGTCGCAGTCGCGAGTTGCACGTGTCTGGCATAATTAACGTTTGGCTCAAACGATGTTGGCAGCAAAGTAAATATCATAACTAAAACTGGTTAACGACTGGCGGCGGCGAAGGCGGCGCTGACTGCAGCAGGCGACGGGAAGCTGCAGGCCGCAGACTCCATAGCTGCTGATTGTTGGCTTGCTGTGGCTGCTGTTGGTCCAATGCACGTTCTTCGATCTGTTCTCCTCGCGTCTTTGACGTCTTTAGCGTGGTCCAATCTAGATGAATCGATCGGTTGTCAAAAACCAGTCGTCGCTGCTAAATATGGTCAAATATCATTCGTGGCAAATAAATAAAGAAAGCAAAATATTAAAAAGCTTAAAATCTTTAAGTAACAATCAGTGTGGGGCTCAATAAACCGTGCACTGTGTGCAAGTTTTTCGATTCTGTAAAAGTCGGGTCATTTGGATATGCAATTAATGGTTTAAGCTGGGCTGAGATTACATGTGCTTATTTTGTGTGTGTATACAAAGAATACACGTAAAGTGAAATGCAATGGCAATATTTGACTCTTAGAACCTGGAACCTTGGAACCTTATAGTAAGCAGTTCCGGTAAAATAGGTGTTCACATGTTGATTACCAAGCTGAAAGTCCCAACTCATTAATATCACGCGAATGGGATTCAAAATACGACATATTTTTAGTTCTCAGCTTTGGCTTGGGTTTTGAAAGAACTTGCCATGACTCCTATTACTACTGAAAGACTCATCTTGACCATTTCGGAGTGCATATTATATTTTGCGTACGTATCGCGAAGTATAGGTACCAAAAGCATAAAGCTGTAGTATATTCGAATATAGGCTCTACCTGTACAAAAGTAACGGAATTACAAGCTGGAAATGATTAGCTTTTAACGTCAGACTCCACAATTACTGAGCTCAAGGAATCAATGAAGCTTGGGTTAAACAATGCCCTGTCAGATGAAAAGCTGCAGTTGCCAGAAAAGCTTAAAGCGCAGTAAAAAGCAGTCTTTCACTTTTAAATATTATCCAAGACACGAGATTTCAACAAATCTTTGTTCAATTCATTCGAGACCATGAAGCTTTGTAAATTTTTTGACTCCAGCGGTGTTCCGATCTGTATCTATTAAATCTGGTTCTCTTTTTTTGCAACTGGCTGAGAGCTACATTAGTCTTCGATCGGCTGAGTCAGCACAACTCTCTTTATATGGTTGAATAGTTCCCAATTGACTGAATAGTTCACTTCAGCAATAATTTTAAGCTTCTGAGTATACTTACATACGTCTGACCGAACGTCTTTGAAGTCCTGAAATGAGCTCGCTCCACCAGTCTTAACAATAAGGTCCACTGTGCGCGTGGCGGTTCGACAAAAATGCACAAGCTTCTACGGAGTAAATGTGTAAACGAGCATTTGTTGCGAAGCCAACGAAAATTATGCGCCTGATTAATGGGAAAAATTCTTTTGCAACGCTTTAACACTCGCTGACAACACAGCAAATGTGTAAACAATGACAGTTTACTTCCCCTTTGCACAGTTTTTTGCAACAGCGCACGACGCTTCCCCCGACTTCGATACAACTCTGCATTATTTTCACTTTTTTCTCTCATTTATTTATTATTTTTTCACACTTGACACATTTGTCTTTCAAGTTTTCAACTTGTGGCAGCGAGCAAAAGCGAAAAAAAAATAGTAAAAATAATGCTGCGCCACCTTCTTTCGTTCGTTGAGCTGTCCTCCGTGGCTTCTCCTCTCCACTCTTCTTCGCTCATCACACGCTGCTGTTTAAGACTTCCAGGCACGAGTTCCTTTTGACGCCGCAGATAAGATATCATTGGGTACTTAGCACTTTCGATTTGTACTAAATTCTTTAAATCCACCGCCGTCGTCGTCGCTGCAGCCGCCGCTGTCAGTAACTCGTTAACGCGCTACTACTTAGCCGCAAACATCAAAATGGGAATACCGACACCTTGGTTGTCGTACATAGCTCCAATCTCATGCTAGTTTCGTCATCGCAGCCATCAGCTCAACCTTTTGCGTCTTCTTCATCGGATGTTTTCAGCTACTTTATCGCGCAGCGTCGTATCCGAAATCGTTGTGGTTTAGGCGCAGCGAAAGTGTGTAATTTAAATTTTCAACGCACCTTCCAATGTGACATGACACGTGACGTAGGCGAAAATGGCGCATCAAATGATGAAAGCAATAGCGCTTAGACAGGGTTGCACCTGCTGAAAAGCGCTGTTGAATTGCTGTTGAATGAGCGTTGAAAGGGTAACACACAAGCGAAATGCCAAACAGTCATTCAAATCATAGTTAACCCCGACCATTGGAGTGGAGGGTTCCTTTGATGCCACATATTTACCGGTACATACCTTGAACTTTGGTCTTCACCTGTAGCGTATAGAGAGAGTTCAATGGTGTAGCTTTTTGTTACACTCCTTATCTTGTGATGCTTGGCTTGTCGGCTGTTGAAGTTAGCGGTTGTGCCCGTTATCGCTCCAATTTCGAAATGTAAGTTTCCGCAAATTGAATTTGACACTCAAAAATAATGGCAATTTCAATGCCATTTGCATTCGAATTCAAGGAATGTTAAGCATAAGCCGAGTCTGGGTGTTGGTAGACTTTGCGGCATTGATTTGGAGGTGTGCATTGTTGGTTGCAGTTGGTTGGCGCACCATCAATTTCATTGGAGTTACTTGATTGATGAATATTGAAGAAATTCGCGAAAATTTACATGTTTCCACCGATATTGTACCTGAAGACGTATCAATACTTTTGAACCGGTGGTTTTACTCAATAAGCGCATAAGGCAGACACTGAGGTAGCCATATGTAGTTTCAAGCTTTTGATTTTACAAATAATGTTTCACTCTGTTTAGGGCTGCATTCCTACATTGTGATCATGTGATGATGTCATGAAATTCCTAAAGTTAGTCTGAAGCTTAAAGCTACTATCGCAGGACTGTAGTTTTTTTGTAGATTTAGCTGCAAACTCGGAGTATTAATCACAACACCAAGAGTCACTTATTGTTAATTTATGATGCTGGCCATCGGTTCCGTCAACCTTTATTATCTACAGTCTAATAATGAGTGAAAGCGGGTTTTTAAGTAATACAGATCAGATACCAGGTAAAGTTCTTGTGGTAGGGAACTGTATAAAGAGCGCAACTTAAAATTCTTGTGATCGGACTTCGAATATATGGTTTATTGTGATTCCTAAGTACCTCAGATCATATGTGAGCTCTCTAAGGGCTTCGTAAGAGGTTATCATAATAGTGGAAGGTTTTTTGGTTTTTAATAGTGGTCTACGTTGGTTTTGTGTCACACTATTTGAAATATTTGGACGCGTATGTCGTGTTAGTATGCAGAGCTGAGCGGCTACGTTAGCTCACACAGGTTTAGAAGGTTATTTATAAATTTTGTCTGAAAGTTTATCTTACGATGATGAATTTCTGGTCCCATATACAAAATCATCTCAGAAAAGACTACAGCATTCCATCCGAACTCGATCGCACTAAACTTGAGGTTTACGTAAAAAATGAGCTCTCTATCTGGTATATTGCCATTTGTTTAACTAAGAAATTACAGATCTAATCCAAGCTTACTTCGAAAAGTTATGCTTGAAGGTAATTGTAATGGAGTTTGATTCTCTCAAGTAGTCGTCAGCCGAAAAAGTTATCTAGTAGACTGAAATTCGTAAGTTAAGATTATGTATGGTGAGCTGATTTTTTTCAATTATTTAGAAACGGCACTAGTAAGGAAGTTTATGTTCACGGCTTTGCCCAGATTATTGGTTTTTAAGGGATATCCTATTGTTTCTGACTTTTCCAAGCAGTTACCGACTTTATTGATTTAACCATCCATATTTCAATAAAAATCAAAAAAATATTACAGCCTTCAAAATATGCTACTGAGTCAATATGCCACTGTTTAATTACGTTTTTCATATTCTTCTCATAAGCCACCTCACCTGGCCTCAGTGCCTTCATGAATGTTGGTTTTTTCGTTTTGGGTTCATTTTTGTAGCATCATTTGCTAGATTGTGGGACATTTTCGACGTCATATTCATAAAACTATGTATCGTCACCAGTCATGAGGTAGGGTCCTCAGCATCTCAGGGTTGTCAAGCATCTCTTTTGCGTCCTGTAATCGAAAAAATTTGATCAGATGGCTACTAGAAGCCAAGTCGGAGAAGACTCAGTATTAGCTTCAGCCTCGTCGAAATACTTGTCCTTCCAGATTAGTTTTAGTTTATCTGGCGCTCGGGAGAGTACTTCTTTGATGTGTACAATCTCAAAGAGCTGAGTTAGCTCAGATTTTTAACTAAAAATAAACGCTTCGTCTAACTACTCTAACTAAAGAAAATTAAATTAGAAAATCCTTTTATTCATTTTGTTGGATAAATAAAATTATTAACTGAGAAGAAGAGTTTTTAATATGATTATGTGCATAAAAGTAAACAGTTAATTACTATAAACTCATTTATGCGAAGAAAATAAGTGCTAAAGCGGAATTCATTAACGGGTGGCCCTAAAAATATATATAATACATATGTACAAACACATTTGCATCTAAGATTAATTATTTTTGCCAAAATTTTGATTCATTTTCGGTTTTATGACACAAAATTTTCTTACAGAGCCAAAATACATGTGTATATGCAAACAAACAAACAAAGAAGTATGAGTGAGCGACTAAGTGGCTAGGACTTTCGGTAGACAAGCCAACACATCAGTAGCTAACTACTTTAATGACAGTAGTGAGTACATGTTTGTCGCATAAGTAACAGTTACAAATAAAGCATATATGTAGGCACAAATATACACCTACACACACAACAAATCATATGTGCTTCATATACCTATATTTATATTTATTTATATATAAGAATGTGTGCAACTAAAGAGCATATTTGCTTGACTATTTGCGCTCCTGCTGCTGCTGGAGTTTAAAATATTTCCCCAGAGAGTAACCTTTGGCTTTTTAATGTGTCCGCCGACCGCACACAAAACACACACACGCACACATATTACCAGAAACTAGAAAACATCAACTGAGAGTAGCAATGGTTTGAATTAGCCTGTGAAAGCAGTTGGAGAGGCAGTGACTGGGGAAAATCTTAAAATCCAAGCAACAAATGTCAATACATTTACTTTTAATTATTTGTGTGTGTGTGAGTGTGTAAAGTAATAAAAGTGAAAATAGAAAATGTGAATCTATGAAATTTAGATGAAATTTATGGAACAATTTTGTACAGTAATGTATGATAGATGCTGAAAATAAGTAAAGGAGGGGTTAACTGTGGACGGAACTAGTCTCTGAGTTAGGTATATTTCCTAAAAGTTCCATATATAAAATCGAATATGACATAAAAATTTATTTAATTAGCAGAATCCCGAAACGTAGTCCCGTCTTTTCGGGATACCGAAAGCCGGTTGCCGTAATTTTGCTTGAAAACCAAAGTACACACATAGTGGAATGCCAAAAATGTAGTCCTGTCTTTTCGGAATCCCGAAGACCCTTATGCTTCAAAACCAAAGTACTACACAAATTTCTCTACATTTTGTTTATTTTTAAGGGGGTATTCTGGTCTAGAGGCATGATTTTAAGGTATTTTTTAAAGTGCTGTATAGAATAGGCAATTAATATTTTTACCATCCATTTTTTTATATGTTATTTATGAACCTTTTAAGAGTACAGAAAAAAATTAAAAAATTTTTTTTTTTCAAAATCCAAAATTTTAGCAGCCGATGAAGTGGAGGGTCTCGAAATATTGGCAGGTGGCCATACCCATGATTTCATCCCTTCCAGTGATCTAAATTGAAAAAAATAAAAAGATTATTAATCTACATGAATGTCGCAAGGTCATGAGCTAGGGACAAGTTAAAAAAATTTTTTTTGATAAAACGGCGACTGTTTGAAAAAAAACATAATTTTTGGACCAGTTTTTTGACTTTCTCAAATTTTTTAAAAATACTAAATTTTGGAATTTGAGGAATGGGGCTAGTTCATGGCTGAGAGGAGTCTATGAGGAAGATTCCCTGAAAATTTCAAGTCAATCGGTCCAGTAGAACTTGAGATATCATGGGTATCAGGTTGAAAAAGACAGTTTCGAGAAAAACGCGTTTAAAGTTTTTCCCGCCGTTCGTTTCGTTTGAATGCCGCGCCAGCAAAATGCCTATATCTCTGAAAATAGTTTGAATTTTCAAAAATCCTCTCGTACACACATTCTTGAATAGTTAAACTTTGAAAATATGAAAAAAAATTGATTTCTTGAAATTTCTAGACCAGAATACCCCCTTAACACTTTCATTTCTTTACTGACATGCTATAATTTGTTTATTTATTTAATGATCTCTAAGCAGCGGAATCCCGAAATTTTAATCCCGTCTTTTCGGGATCCCGAAAGCCAATTGTTGTCATTTTGCTTGAAAAACAAACTAAACACATAGTGGAATCCCGATGATGTAATCCCCTATCTTCGGAATCGTGATTAACGATTTCTAAGTAACGTAATCCCAAAAAATTATTTCTATATTATATTTTCGGGAACGCGAAAACCAGTTGTTGTCATTTTACTTGAAAAAAATTACGCACATAGTGGAATCCCGAAAACCATTTATTGTCATTATGGTTCAAAACCGGATCTTTCTCTACATTTTATTTATTTTTTTAACTCTTTTATTTCTTTACTCTTATGCTATAATACATACATTTTATTATATAGCAGCGAGTGTGCGTTTCGTCATCTTGTCTGTCTGCTTTTATAGTATCCTTTAAAAGACATAACGATGCATATAAATTTGATTATTATTAAGTCAGGCATATTGTGGCGAATATCTAATGTGTGCTCTTATATGTTTAATGCTTATATATGCTGTCAAATTACATGCAAACAAACACAAGCAAAAGCGGGTATCCTAGAAAGCCTTTAAAATACGCCGGACTGACGAGCACATACATAGATATGTTGGCATTAGTAAAAACACACATGCGTTTGACAAACTAGACCAAACAGCCAGCCAACCTGACATCCGTCCGTCCTCAACTTTTAAGTACCTTACAAGATGGAGAGTTTCGTGTTCTCATGTGTGTGTGCGTCCCTTTGCGGTTACATTCCGGTTACTGAACTAGCAGCTTGGTTAATTTATAAATACCTGTATTACGAGATTAATAATTTAAATGCCTATTAAAAGATAACCTTAGCTGAATGCGCGCCAAACTGTATGTGCGCACCTCGGAGTGATGTGAGCGTGGTCATAATATTTAGAAATTTAAAGAAGTGAAAATTTGAGAATTTAATATAGTCGTAACTATCATTGTTTCATCGAACTCCTTTAAAGGGTTATATTCACTTTTCCGATATTTCCTCATACATATGAGACTTCACATATATTTGAGAATATTCTCCGTATCAGAGATATGAGCATAATTTTAAAAATTTTCTAGAGAGAACATTTTCTCCGACGACCTGCTATTTTTACAAGACCTTCTTAGATATATTTGTCCGCTCGAACGAATAAAATTATTAAAACAATTCCGATATTTGAGGCCATTCTTAAGTGTACATTTTTTTCACAAAATACTACTTTTCTTTGGGATTGTCATTTTGTCAAAAATTTAAATGTATTTGATTAGTCATCCGATCTTTAGCTGTATTCATCATTGTAATAGCTTTTTTGGTTTTTGGATTTAAGATAATTTTAAGCAAGAAACTATTTCACCAAATACCTTTTTTTGGAGGTCGTACTCTAGATTGCCACCGATTAATAAAGTACATTGAATACTTTGCTTATTAAATAAAATGCCTCTTTCAAATTCACGAAAGAAACGATTTTTCTAACTTGAAGTGGATATAACAGTTAATATAAGAATCTTTAAATATTGAAATAGTAATTGGACTGTGTCTTTCAAATTCATAGATTCGTCTCAGACCATCAGTACCCTCCAACGTTGTTCTTAATAATTATTCATAAGAGAAGATCACTTGGGATCCAATGAAGAATTACCATACTTACTTTTCGTTGTATTGTTAGGGGGCATACCTTGTCTAACAGCTTCAGAATCGTCGATTTTTGGAAATTAAAACAAAAGCTACTGTATCAATGGTTTTGAAATTTTGAGGGTATATTTAGACATGTTTCAAAAAAACACAGTGAAATTTTTGAGTTATACGAGATCTCCGACGGCGCAAAAAAAAAGATCCTCAACTGCTGCAGTATTTCCGGCCTTCTCCGAGGATAAAACCTAAAAATAACAAATTCTCGTTAACCTAGAAGATATTCTCCGTACAAATCAAACCCTATAAAAAAATCATTTTGATAAAATGGTGGCGTTTAAAAAAAAAGTAGGATTTTGCCCCAAATTTTGGTCTTTTTTAGCGTGCCAAACTCGAATGTCAATGTATTTAGATTTATATGCAGAACAGGCGAAAACTATTTCATGTTGATCGGATCATTTGTCTTCGAGTTATCAGTTAAGCGAAATAAAAAAATGCTGTTTCGAGATAAACGCGTTGAAAGACAAACTGATGGAGCTGATTGAACTTGGCGGCTACCCTTTAAATGACGGTAACTCACAAACTATTTGTGATATCGATTTGAAATTTTGGTGTGTTATTTTCAAAGCTATAAAATGTCACATTGGCGCACACCTAGTGAGTATCCTTTCGAAGTTAAGCTTATAATTTCTTGCCAGTTATAATTCCGCGTTCGCGTCGATTATGTTAAGATTCGTCTGCCTTAGAAAGAAATTCACCATTATGATCGATATCCTCCGACTTCGCGACCGGTAAAGAGAGTTTGCGGAAAATATTTACTTGAAGTGTTATAGTTTAAGGGCCTTAAGGTTGTACTAATATCTATTATCTTCGGCTCACCACGATATTGCTTCATTTCTAATATTGCTTTGAATCATTGCAATCCAAGATATGATTTTAAGATATATTATTTAAATGATAAAAAATTTTTTTTGTGAAACTCGTCAGTTTCTGTTTCAGAGAGCGCTTGTTATAGTATTAGAAAACTTAGATCATCCACAGTTTACACTTTCTAGTATTTATAAAGTATTCGCTTAAATTTAAATTGCAAATATTTTTTAATATGTTACCTTTTAATAGAACATAACGCACATTTCCCGAAATCATCAAGAAAATATCTCTCGCGATCTCATTGTATTGGACCGAAAGCTGCTTAAGTCATTTCTACCGTCAAGTGAGCGTAGCACACCTGAGGATACAGCTTTAAATTGTGTTAAAAATATTTATGATAGAATAAAAAAAATTCAGAATTTCTTAGTAATTAAACACAATGAAATACTGAATTTATTAGTCGACAATCAACTTTCCTGCGTTGATTAAAAAATACACAATTTGTCATTACGAATTCATGGTGAAATAAAAGTAGAAAAGCAATTATTTTATGCAGAATGGTACACTGTTGTGCAAAATTATTGTTATATTTTCCGAAATCATATATGAGGGGTCAAGTAAAAAGAATGAGAAAAAACAGAAATTCCGGGATCCAGAAATTGTTAATTTTTTGTATTGTAATTCGAAACTCTTTATGTAATATTTTTGTGAAAAGAAAATTCCGAACAATTTTGAAAAATTTTCGGGATCCCGAAATTTAAAACTTTTTAATATCCAAATATAAAAATGTTATAAATTATAAACGCAAACTATCAACATTTAAATTCCTATTCATCCCGAAAAAAATTGAGACCCGGAATTTTAACTTAATTACTACACATTATTTCCTTTACTTTCAAAAATATATTGTTTTCTGAAATAATCAAATATTGAATTCTGAACAATTTGGAAAAATTTTCGGGATCCCAAATATCAAAATGTTAAACATCATGAACTCAAACAATTACAATTGAAATTCCAATTAATTTCGAAAAATTTCGTGATCCCGAAATTCTAAATTTTTCGTACTGAAATCCCCATGTAGCCAAAATTATATGTACATTATCTAAACTGAGCCAACATCAACAAAGAAATACATATACATATATAAGTGTCTGCCATAATTTCGCGCGAAGCTGTAAATAAATGATGCATATGTATGTAGTAGATATTCATACATTTAAATATATTTGCAAAACCACAAAACTCGCTTCCTTACACTAAATCAGCAGCGCCAACTGACCTGCCAAGCAATTTGAACGTGTTTATTTTGCCTCTATGGCATCCTTGACATTTTTAACACCCACGCAATCTTTACAACCCCCACACATACACACAAACATATGCAAATGTATATTTGTATGTGTGAATGCATGGACAAAACCGCTGCGAAATCACTCACATTGAAAGGCAACATAACTTGCGGGCAGCACTCAAATTCACTTATTTCTAACGAATCGCAAACACCCCGAGAACAGGCTACAACAACAACCAAAACAATAAAAAAGCAACACAATACAATAAATGTACTTGCATATAAAAATAAAGCAAAAGAGAAGTGAGCAGAAGAAGAAGAAACATAAAATATACGCAGAAATAAAAAAACAGTCAAAAGTCATCTGCCACAAACGAAATTAATTTAAAGTAATTTTTTCTTATGTGTGAGTGCTCATAGGTATTTTTTTATGTTTTGCTTAAAAGTATATATATATATATTTATATATATATATGTGTTTGTGTGTGTTGGCGTGTGCTCGCCTCTTGGCCACATAAAGCTTACTTGTAAAATATTATTTCATTTTCGCCATCAACATTATGCCACATACTTACATACATATGTTCTATGTATTTATACCCTGATTATAGAATATTAAGTTTGCCACGAAGATTAAAACATACTCTTTTATTTGACAAAATATCTTCACGAAGTTTGGCATAGTGTTTTTTATAAAAAGATTACAATCTTTGAACATATTTTCCGAATCGGATCACTATAGCATATAGCTGTCAAAAAAACTGACCAATACAAATCAAGTTCTTGTAGAAAAAACTTGTTTATGTGGCAAGATGTCTTCCCGAAATTTAGCATACACTTTTTTTAAGATAATGCTACAATATCAGAATAAATTTTTCAAATCGGAACTATAGCATATAGCTGCCATACAAACTGACCGATTAAAATCGAGATAAAGATCTTTTTATACCATTATCTGCTATAAAAAATGCCACTATGAAGGGTATTATATTATATTATAGCATCCGTGCAGCCGAATATTTTCTTGTTTTCAAATTCCTTGCTGTCCACCGCAAGAAACAAACAAACGCAAGGAGCCAAAAAAAAAACAAGTTTCAAAAAATTGTAAATGTGAAAATGAAATTTACTTCATTTGCTTGTTTCATGCCAAAAGTACCGTAGGCATTTCTGTTACAACGGACTAGTGGGGAAAATATTATTTGTTACTTTTGCCTCAGCGAACAGCCGCAGCTTCAGCTTCAGCCACAACCACACACGCACACACACATGGATGATTGCTCAGCTCTCCTTTGGGAAAAGCGCGCTAGTGTGCTCTGTCATGCAGATGGTTTTTCTTTGCATATAAAATTATTCTATTCTACATTTTTATTTAATTTTTTTCATTTTTCTATTTTTTTTATACAATATATTTTTTTTTTATCCTTGTAACATGCCCGTACATTGTGTGGCGCTTGCAACACTTGAGTGTATTAGGAAAAAATTCATAAATTTGATTGCTGTTGAGCGGCAAAGAACTATTTTATTTTTTGGGACCGCAAGCATGCACACACATAACATATACATACATATGTACCAACATGCATTTGCCTTCAACAAGCGCGGCGAGAGTAGAAAATTTATGCAGGATATGCCAGGAGTCAGAAAAAATCACTATGCTTGAATTATGCTCGTGAAAGAAACTTGCAACTCCAGGTCATAATGTTCAATTGTCTGCAAGCGAATGCCCTATAGGACCTAATGAAGGTAAGAGAATTCGAAGCTCTCGCGCTAATGGAGCAACTATTTGAAAATGTAGCTTGTTATGTTTGAATTTCTGAAGCTGATTTCGCAGCTACTCTGTTAGTGCTTCAAGTTTTGTCGACTTTCGCCCATATTCCATGAAGAAGTAGTAGATTCTCTGTCGTTTGTGGCATCGTCACGGAAGCTGTACTCTCACTGAGGCGTGGAAGACACCCATAACAGTCCCATATCCTTGCAAGTTTCATTTTTGATTTTGTCCTCAGTAAGTTTTCTGCGCCGGACGATCTCAGTGTCAAACCAAATTGAACACTCGTGAAAATTAACTTCTTTCCCTATGCAAATACTTGTCCGAAAACCAATACTTGAGTTCAAACCCCATACTCCTTTCATAATTTACCGTTTATAGACTAAATATGTTGCTAAAAAGACATTTATTAAGCTTAAGATTTCTCAAGAAACCGCTGAATATGTTTCAACTCTTATTTTCCTTGAGTCCATCATCAGCTCATAACTTTCTTTGGAGCTCCAGAGTTTTTAAATACAATACTTGATTATAATAGATACAATGCTGTCCTAGTATCTTACAGATAGATGTCAGTATAATTATTTTCTAATCATAATTTACTTTCCTCCTGATCACTTTGTGGGAATATAAGTATGTAAGCGGTTGCATTGATCACTAGAAACTTTGGTTCGCACAACTCTCTAATTGATATAGGAGCGTAGGTATGCTTTAAGCACCTGAAACCTAGATAACCAGTTCATATAAGGCTGATATTTGATATCAGCGGGTAATCTCCAAATGTTGTGGAAGCCCACTATGATTTTATAAAAAGAAGGACTCTCATAAAACTATAGTAAAATTTCAATTGTTTGATATTGAGAGGTTTATGTGTTGGAAAACTTATTCTGAAAGTTGTAATTGACAATGTAACCCTTAAAATAGTGGGTTAATATCAATAACCTGCTCTCAGACTCTGACATTTCTTAAGCGCTCAAAATATAAAATAATAAAACAATCACTTCCCGGGTAATATGATTGGGGTAATATGATGACCGAGAATATATTTAGCATATGTCTTCACTTAGAAACCTTGATTACAATAGCATACTATAATGTGAAATCTCACAAAATGAGCACTTTATGCTCAAGTTACAAAGCTTTCCGTCTAATTCTCTTATGAAGGTTAAATATCTGAGACTGCGAATTCTCAAAGGTGAAGAGATTGAACTAAATTTAGGTTTCTCATGAAGTTCATTCGCTTAAAGTTCCGGTTATCAATCTTCAAAAGGCTTACGGAATAGTATATCGTTATAACTAATGAAATTATCGAGTTAGATTTCAGGTTAGGTTAGATAAGATACTGATACCTCAGCGAGGCGGGGGATCACACGTAGACTGTTAAGTACAGTGCTTTGTGTAGCCGTATGAAAAACTCCTGTAGGTGGATGTCAGCTATCGGCAAAAACGCCTGAACATATAATAAATCTATTTAGGTGTTTTATTTCTATATCCGCTATTTCACTTGGATGTCTAAAAGTTTGAGATCCAAGATGTTTTTGCTTTGATCTGTCAAAAGCGGGCCATTCGAGGAGGAAGGGTTGAGATGATTCTATCTCATCTTCTTCCAAACAGCTAATACAGCTGGGATCCGTTATGATATTTAATCTTACTGCATGAACCCTGATCAGACAGTGTTCAGTTAGAACTCTTACAACCATTGAAAGTTGGGCCTTGCTGAGAGCGAAGGAGTCTAGACATTATTTCACTAGTCTTGAGCGCACATTTAGCGAACTCTAATCTAATATCGCTGCCCTACTATAGGAGTGGATAGTAACCATTCTAGAGGAGGCTGCGCTCCGAAGCACTAGGTTTACTGCTATCTTTATGGCAGTTATTTCCGCTTGGAAGACGCTGCAGTGGTCAGAAAGCCTAAAACTTGAGCTGATGGAAAGTTAAATGTCATTTAAGAACGAAATTCTCACGAAGGACGAATGAGGCAAATTGCGTAATAACAAAAAGTGGCTTGAACCGAAGCATGAAGGTTCGAAAAATGAGTTTTCTTAAATTCTATAACTATTTATTGATAGTAAAACAAATCAGCAACTGCTTCAAAAGTAACTAGTTAACAACTAGTGATACATTTTAAATAATTTCTACCAATGCAGAAATTTAACTGCCTTTCCGACAAGGTATCTGTACAACATGACACACCTACTAATATTTTCAAGCATGAGCACGGGGTTATAAGCAAGTAGTCGTTGCGACAAATCGAATTTGTGTTTCCTCTTCGCCGCAATGCTGATTAAAGTTTTGAATTGATTTTTCGTGTTTGATTTAAAGCAACAAATGGAATGTAACGAATCGAAATCGAATGCAAAAGCGACTTTCAAGTTCCGCCACAAGTGTAGGCTGTCGTTCGTAGCTCCCTCAAGAGCAAGC